GGCAAATAATTTTAGTTTTTCATTATCTCTAACTTTCCGCAAATTCTCTTTTTTTAGTGGGGAGAAAGAGATCTTGCTTTCGTCATATGAATAATTATTAATAATTTCGTCTGTTGGCAAATCAAGAATATTGGCCGCTTGGACGGAAAAAATATTATCAATTACCAGTTGAAAAGCCTTGTCTAACTCACGCTTATCATTAGTCAATAATTCAATTTCAAAAGCAGTTAGACCAGGATAAGTATATTTAATTTTTTTTTCTCCTAGATTAGCAATACGCTCATCAATTAATTTTTCCCAACCATTTTGATAAACTGTTTTGGCTTCGGCCAAAGTTAAGCCACTAGTAATTCGTCATGCCTCTTTCTCATTTTTATTGGTAATATTCCGGGCCACAAAAAAACGCTGTCAAGCAATATTTTCTTGCTCTTGCTTAATTTGGTCGGGGGTTTTGGCTTTCTTAATCTGATTTTTTTCCTGGTCGTCAAGCCCTCCTTCCCAAGCCGCTCCATCAGCATCATTTTGGCAAGCATTTTCGTAAACTTTTTTTGCTTCGTCCAGACCACCGGACAGGCTTTTTCACTTCGCCTTGTCTTTGTTGTCCTTAATATCATGCTCGGCAAAAAATTTATCTCAGGTTTGTAAACTCTCGTATTTAGTTAAAATTTGGGCGGCTATTCCTCCCAACATATCATTACAAGACTTTCAGACAATTTGCTGGTCGCTCCCAGCCTCCGCATCGGCAAACAAATTAAGTTTATCGTAATTGGTCTGGTTAAAGTTCTTAATATCGGCCTCCTCTCAACTGGTTAGAGTGGTTTTTTTTGCTCCTCGTGCCCGGCGACAAATAGTTAGTAATTCACAAGCACTTTGGGTCTTTTTGGCCGTGTTGAAAGAGTTAAGGAAATTTCTTTCTGCCTCAACCAAAATCGGATTTCAACTTTTATCCTTAAAGTCTTTTTTTGAAACGGCTTGCTGTTCTAAAATTAAATCCAAACCGTCATAATCCGTGCTTAAACACTTAATTTTTTGCTTGCGGCCCGTCTCCGATTGGTGATCTAAATAAAAACCGGCTTTTAATTCCTTCAATTTGTCCGCAGTGGTAAAATATCTATCTCAATTATTAGCGACTAAAATTTTTAAATCATCACGCCTTAACTTCCCGCCATTTCAGTAAAGTTTTTTGTTTTCCTTTTCGTAAAAATGCTT